CTCAATAATATACCTTAATGGATGTAGGAGCCTAAAGAAGCAGTCCAATTTCCAAATGCAAAACCAGTGGTTTCTGTTGACTTCAGCAAAAACTGTGGGTTAATCAGTCCTTTCGGAAACTGGGCCGTATGTTCTTCCGTCTTGAGATGGCTTGGCTTAATTTTATGAAGCATTTCTTTTTTGTACACCAGACTTCTCTTTTGGTGTGAAAACATTTCTAATGAAACTCTTCTAATTGGAAAACACATGACTTGACAACCCTGGGCACCTAAGTCCTTGATAACTGGGTCTGAGGCTGATTTTGTGCTGTCAGTTCATCTGTCTTGGGAGCTGATGGATGTCAGCAGTGAATCCAGATCTCTGCAAAGTCCCATCAAAACAAATTATCTTTTTCACTTCAGGGTGGGAACTGGCTTGGTTGAGGAAGCTGCTGTGGGGGCTAAGTTTTATTTTTGTAGCAAACCCTCAGTTTTTCCTGGGTAGGATATTTTTGGTGGACACTGCTCAGCTCCCTGTGTTGCACAGATTTTATACAGCCCTAATTTCCACTGGCTTTAGCACAGCAAAGGTGTCGCTTCATGCATGAAATTGTTAGCGCTGGAACTGCAGATCTGTCTGGCCCATTTTCCTCCTGTTCTGTGTAATGTTGAGGAAATTTCAGCAGTGGGTTGGACTATGTGAATCGAATGCTGGGTGAAGTCCTGGCCGTGTGAAATTTAGTTGCCTGTTAATTATTCTTGCTTGCTGATTCCACTGAATTTTTAGGAGTGAACTGGGATGTGAGCTGGGGAGGCATGTGAAGAGGAAAAAAACCTTCATCTGTGAGACAGCCTGTTCCCAAGAGCATTCACCAATATAAGAGCATTTTGAAAAGAAATAAGGAAACAGGCAGCCTCTTTTGCTGATGTATTTGCTACTGTATTTGCAGGCAATCTCCCCAGGGTCATTCCCAGGCAGGGACAAAGCCTTGCACCCTAGCTGGAGGGTTGGAGGAAGCGTGGTTGTTGGGTTGCCTGGGCTCTCATGGGACTGAAGTGGCTCCTCGATGTGGGTCTCTCCCTTTCCCCTTTGTGTTTCACATCAGCCAGTTCCCAAGAGGCTGACATGCTCTCTGGAGCCTTTCCCACAGGAGCGGCCCAGACAGCACCCCAAGAAACAAGGGTGGCTGCGCCCTGCAAGCTCTCGGAGCTGGGAGCAGCCCCTCCAGGAAGCTGTTGTACAACAGAACTTCAGTTCCTGCCTTGCATTCGGCTTGTTGAGTTGGAAAAACAAGACGTGTGTGAGTCGCACTGATGGCAGTCAGTAAGGATCTTTGTGTATGGGTGGGAATACAGAATTCACAGAATTTAGTGAAGAAAAGCATAACGAGACCTAGTGATTGGAAGTGGAGTTAAGATACAGTTAAATGGAAAGAAAGGGACAGATTTTAATGCAGGGGATGATTAACCTTTGGTACAGAGGAGGTGGAGTCCTCCTTCTGCAGGTCTTTGAATCAAGACTGGTTCATATCCTGCAAGCATGCACCAGCCAAGCCAAAGTTACTGACCTTGGCCCTGCCCTTGGGAAGGCATGTGGTGAACACTCCCAGCTTTCATCTTTGTGATCATCCAAACTGACTCTTTACTTGCCTCAGCTTTCATGCCATCCCTGCTTCTTTTCCTCCCTTTCTTCTGATGGGTCATGTGCTTACATCTTTATGGGGCCCACAGGAAACAATACCTGCTTTGTCTGAGCTGTCTTCACTCCAGTTCCTTCCATTTGCCTTGTCAAACACCAGGAAGCGTTGACTTGAGAACTTTGTCCATTTAGCAGAGCTTGGCTTCAAGTCAACAACCCCAGGCTAACAGTGTTTATCAGGCAGCAGGAGATCAGTTCTAATTCCTGAACAGTTATCATTCTTCCTGTTGCGGCTGTTCTCCAGCACTTTGAGATGCTGAGAAACTTTACGCACAGGTGTTTGCAGGAGGAAAAGAGATTGATATGTCCCCGCAGGTTTTACAACTGATCATATCAGTCATAATGACCTCTATTGTCTTATGGGAGGGCTCTGTGTTTTCTTTGTTTTCTTCTTTCCCCCCCCCCCCGCTAAATGTTGGTTGTAGTTTGTGGGAGCCGGCTTGGTACAGTCACGGAAGGAGGGTCTGCCTGGTGTTAAATTGGTATCTCAGCCTGGTTCCTGTGCAGGAACACACCTGATGCTCTACTGAGGCTGGCAGAGCTGCACGCACTTGCTTTTGTTGATAAGTGGGCAACATGGAAGTAAACGTCTGCACTGCTCCAATTCTCTATAGGAATTACCAGATTTTATATTTTTTTGCCATTTGTATGTTTAGCCTGCCTCAGTCTTGGAAGATTCACAGGAAGAAATTGGTGTCCTGCAGAGGGAACCATTACACACAACCTCATCTTTACCCTTCCTGTCTAACCAGGGGCACTTGGAGGGCGGGGGGGTGAGTCCATAAGCAAACAGGTTGCCCAGCTTATGATGATCAACCGTGGAACATGGTCATTAAGCACTGTTAGTGCTGTCCTTTTGAGCAATTGAGGGCTGTTATGGCAGGGATACAACATTACTGCCACAGGGGATGAGGAAAAAGGCCGTTTCATTCCCTGGTGACATGGCCACCGTTGGAGCCAGCTCGGGCTGAGCCAGGGGGCTGGCGGATGGCAGGTCCCTGGGCGCTTGGCAGCAAGGCCTGAGCTGCTGACGTCTCTCCGTGTAGGGGACAGGTGCCTGCTGAGCACCCACACACCGCTCCCCTTTTCTTAAGGCAGCAAGGTGAGGAAAGAGCGGATTGGAGGGATGAAGGTAGGAAGACAGGCTCTTGCCCTTCTTTTTCTTCCTTGGCTGCAAAACAGCACATAATTTTTGAGTTGGTTGGGAGAAACACGTAGGAACACCTGGAGTGAAGAAACTGATGCGATTTTGCTCATCAGTGGGCACAATCCCCTCTTACATTTTGTGCTGGAGTTGCAGCTGCCCTGACATCGATTTCTTGGCACCTCATGTCCTTAACTCTTTTAGAAGTAGGTACTGGGAAGCTCATCCTCCAGCATCACCCAACTTTATTTTGGGCTCTTAGGAGACTGTCCAGTGAGGGGAAAGCTTGAACAGAGCTGCATCCCTTTCCTTCCTCCATCCCCAGCCTCTTCCTCCTTGCTGGTCCTGGTGGGATGGCAGCGCGTGTTCCTTAGGGCACCATTCTCTTATCAGGTGGGTTTAATATGGCATGGCTTCCAGTTCTGCTGGGCTTTGCATGGGGCGAGAAGGAATGCTGCTGTCTGCAGCAGAACTGGGCAAGGGGCTGCCCAGGGTGAATCCAGTGTAGCCAGCAGATCCCTGGGTGGATGGGAATCCAGTACGGAAAGAGCTGACATGCGGTAGCTCCACCTGGCCCTGTCCTATTTTTACACCAACACACCAGTCTTTTCTTTCAGGTGACTAATGAAGCATGCTTGGGTTTTGGCTTCCTACCGTGGTCAGGCATCCTCTCCGTGTGGCCTCACACCTTTCATAGGTGGCTTTTTCTGCGTTGCTGGGAAGCTGCTTGGGTTTCAAACTGAAGTCGGGATTGTCTGAACCAATCTTTGAGAGGAAAAAAAGCATGGGGTTGTTTGTTTGCTCATGCCTCACAGGTAGAATCATCTGGGAGAAGTAAAAACCTTCCTGCTAAGTATTACTTTAAAATGGGTTTCTACGTAATTAAAAAATGCTGCTGTCAGCTCCTCACCGGCAGCCTCTCTAAGTCCCGGGGGGGTGTGGCCAGTCATTGAGGTCCTCTTTGACACCCTTGCAAACCCTTTGACACCCTGGCAAACCCTCTGACGTCTCCTGGTCAGTGCTGGGCAGTGTTACGGAGCCGTTGGGCCTGTGGTAGCTGTAGTCTGCAAATGTGTGTGTCACCCTTGATCCCCGCGCTGGTGTTGGCCTGGTAGGGTTCCTATACAGCTGAATTCATTCTGAAAATGGAAGAGGAAGATGGATTGGGCACGCACTGTTGGGCCTCTTCTGTCCTGCAGCCTCCAAAGGATGTTCTCTAATGTCTCTCTGGGCTCAAGACTAGTTCTTGAGCTGAGACTAACCCTCACTGGAGCTGTAGCCAAAACCACCAAGGACTTCCTCTGTACGCCTTCAACCTGCAACATTTGCTGTTCGGAGTGAGCAGAAGGCTGTGAGAGGGTGTAGGAGACATCTATCTCCTCCTCTAAAATGAAGGGAAATGGCCTGAAGGGATTGAATTAGGGAACAGCACACTTTGTTTCCTTCTTGCTTGCTGTCTTGGTTGAGAGAGGGGTTTGTTTAGTGCTTAGTCCTTTGCTTGTGGCTTAAAAACAATAGTGAAAGAAAACCAAGAACTGAGCAAGGGGCGACTGAGTGGATAACCCAGAGATAACCAGATTATCATGGGGTCATCCTGCGCCATCGCTGGGATCCAAACAATTTAAAGAAGATGCAAATCATTGTGCCACCTCATTTTTGGTTTTTCCTTCTATATCCTTTCCAAGAGAAAGGAGGAGAAACAGGTACACCCATCTAGGCACTAGCGGGGAACTCTGCTCAGCTCTCAGGGCAGGCAGCAGAGTAACAACTCCAAGGGACAGCCTTAACTTTTCCAAACAACACTTCCCAGGGAAGAGCCAGGCACTGTTCATGCCTGTTTGGGCATGGGAAGCCTGCAGGTTTCTTTTCCTGATTGAAAACAGCTGCTATGTGCTGTAGATACTTGGGTACCATATTTTTTTTAAAAAAGGACCTTGTAGCAATGACTGCACCAACAAAATTTGGCATTCCCACTTTTATATTAAATTTTTTTTATTGAGATGATGTAATTACAGGCATTTTAAAAATTATTTGCAACTCACTGGCCCTGAGAATAGGCTTTTTTGTTTGTTTTTGTTTAGTTACATTCATTTGATTCAGTCCCTTAGCCCCACACCTTAAAAAACCAAAAAGCCATCATCAATAAAAACAGACTAGAATTTTATTAAAAAAAAAAAAAAAAAAAAAAAAAAAGACCTCGAACTGATGCATTCTGGATTTGCACACGGTTGCAGTCTGACAAAGAGATCTGGAGAATGCGTGCGTGGAGGTTGAAATCTGGGGAGGGTGGCAGTGACTTAAGTGTTCACAGAAAGGGCCCCGGTGGTGTTCTTTGGCTGGAGAGGCAGTTTCGAACTTAAAATCAAAAGGTTTCAAACTTCAAATCAAGAAAACATTTCGCTGTGGAACTGCAGCATGTCCTACCTGACCAGCTGTGGCTTGTTTGGATTTGTAGCAAGCTGATGGCAGTGAAGGTCCCACGTAACTGCACAGTGTGAGGATGCTTTGTTGGAAGTTGGGAGTGACCTCTGGAAGTCATCTGGTCCAACCCTCCCCGCTCAAGCAGGGCCACCTAGGGCCACTTGCCCAGGACAGTGTCCAGACGGCTTTTACGCATCTCCAAGGGTGAGACTTGTTCTCCCTTTTCCCACTTGCTTTGGTGGCAAAGGCAGAAAGTTTGGCTGCTTTGCTGCTGACAAATTCTACACAGGGGAATCAGAAATTGGGGAGGGAAGGCAGGTATCAGGGTCAGTGGAAAGACAGTGTTACCTTTGCTAGCCCAGACGGGCAGCTCAGTGCGTTGATGCTGTGTTTGCACTCCACGCATCTGCCATTTGGATGTGAGGTAGATGGGAATCTGTCTATGCAGCTGCTCTAGCCTGGTTTTATTTATTTTAAGTCATAGCCGGTAAACTTGCTTCCAAGACCCCAAGAGCTGTTCAAATCCTGCAGCTCCCACAACAGGCCCCCTGTCCCTGCGGTCCCACACCACGCAGACCTGGCAGGAGTCAGGGGACAGCATCCGCCAGCAAGGGCCCCTGTGGGACCCATCTGCTCCAAGTTCAAAGGCTATTTTCATTCCAACTAGCATCAGCCTTGAGAGAACGTCTTCTCTGTGGTTGTGGTGAAGAAGCTGTCTTAAGATGTCCTTTATGGGTGAACTGGAAGAGTTTTCAACAGCCACCAAATACTTTTTTCCTTTTGACTTAGATTTTTGGTAAAGGTGAATTTTTTTCCTCTGCAGAATTTCCCCTAAGAAAGTTCCCTACGGCATTTCAGGATTCCTTGCTTTTTCCCATCTTACCCAGTGCTGAGGATGAACTTTCTTTGCTAGCATACACAGTGAGCAGATGGGCTTCTACTGGTGGATTGTCTCTTGTTCTGTGTTTTGCAGTGTGCCCTGTGGCTGTGACAAAAACCTGTGGCTCATCAGAGCACTTTATATAGAAGGTCTCTATCATCTTTTTTTTTTTTTTTTTCCCCTCACCATCTGGTAACAGTAGCTGCAGCAGGCAAAAGAAAATAATGCAGTTATGCAGCTGTCACAGGATATGAATTGTTCCCTGCACAAACTTGGTTGCTTTTTACCACTGAATGCCCTAAGAAACACAAGAAACCAGTAAAAGCCTTTATGTGGCTACTTCTGATCACACCTGTCATTCGTATTCACCTCCTCACCACACCTCTTCACCTCAGCCCCCGAGACATGGCTGCAGCTTGGCTGCCCTTGAGCAGGGTGGCAGCGTAACTCCCTGGCCCCTCGGTTTCAAGTGACCTCTGGTTTCAGGTCTGGAACCCCTGAAGTCCCTCAGGGTCTCCCAAGCTCACACCTCCTGAGCTCCACAGACTTCAGAGTCATGACAGAGGCAGGTGACAGGTTGTCTGCTTATCTTTCTGATACCTCTTGCCTTTTGAGGAGGAAAAAGGAAAGTATGTGGTGTGCTGGGACTTGTAACATATTGACTATGATTTAATAAAAAAAATGTGACTGGGAAAAGCTTAGGGAGAGATGTATGCCCTGTCATTCCTCATCAGATACCGGCTCTGAAAATATCTGTCCTCTTTATATGATGCCTATCTACACCCTTAACAAAGCTGTTCCTTCTGCGACCCGTGGCTCAATATTAAGTCTTTTGTGAGACTGGACTATCTCTGTTTAAACACAGGGGACACTACTCATTGCCAAGTGCCATTTTTTCCCAGATAGATTAACCCTCTTGTAAATATGTGGTAAGATCAAATGTTGTGTTGGCTTAATAGATGATAAAAGCTCTATTGTGGCAATGTATCTTGTTTTTTTGGTTGAAACAGATTAGATTAGCCCATTGATTTTTTCCATTTCTAGTACGTGTGTTCCCATAAAAGAAACTTTCTGTTTTAATGAACTGGTGTGGATGTACTTTCTTCCAGACACATGTGATTCCTGCATGGCTTCTCTATGCATCTTCTCCCTCTGCAAGCATCATTTCTGCTGCTAGATCTTCCTTCCATTAAAGGACCACTGGTGATGGATCGCTGGATGCCCACACACCACAGACTTTCCCAGCATGGTGGCCCAAGCAGTGTGAAATGAAAAAGGGCAGTAGTTTCTCTTGTATTGGGCATCAAGGACTGCTGAGCTTCCCGCGACCAAACTAGGTACAGCTCTTCAGCTCATGCAAAGCACCCTCAGTGCAGCAAACCAAATCAGGGTGGGTAAAAAATGGGGTGCCTCGCAACCAGAATGAAACCAAAACCCAAGAAAGCCACATGGCTGTAGGGTTTCTTTTTTTTCTTGTCTTTTAAATGATGTTCAGAATGGGCAAGCTGAGACAAGCTCCCTTGATGGCAGAGCTGTGGGGTGGAGGAGGGTCGTGGGAGGCATAAAAAAACCCCAAATCCCAAAACAAAGCCAAAATCAATTACAAGTTACAAGCATAGCTATTTGGTCTCTAGTTCTCTACCATCAGTTTTTCAGATTGGTGAATCATCTACCTCTCCAGCAGCTCAAAATGATCCTGGAGAGGTTTCTGAGTAATACAAACCATGTGATGGGTCCCTTTGCTTTCTCCCTATGATGTGAGGAACAGTCCTTCACCTTTCACCCCAAAATTGCTATCAGGTATAAGAAACACCCCTCCCCTTTGTAATTACAGATGCTTCAGCCTTCACTTTTTTATAGACTCTTTGAGCTGAAATTCTGCATTGTGGATATATTGTGGGGGTTACATATATATACATATATATAGGAAATGTTTCTCTATATACACATATATATGTATTTGTCCCTGTCATCCCTCCCCCCCAGCTCCATTCTATCACTTCTTTGCTAGAGGGAGGGAAAATGTCAACATCAGTCTACTGCAGAGGTTTGTCACATTTATTTTTCTCCTCCCTGGAGCACTTAGGTGATTGGTTTTGGTCCATATTCCAGCAGTTAACAGCCACTCGCAAGACTCATGGTGAGCCCAAGCTCTGCTGGGATGATAGCCCAGCCTACGCGTGAAGGGTGACTCCTCTTCGTTTGACAGGTATGTGTGGTGAATTCTTTTGGTAGCTTCAACATGTTTCCCAGTGGCAGCACATGTAAATTGATTGGAGCAAACTGGAACCCTTGAGCAAATCCCTTCTGTGATGCTATTGTTTTATGCGGTGTTATGTCATGAGACTTGCACAGAAAATAAGAGTGCTCTATTTCCATAGGAAAGCCTTCCAAAAAAAAAAAAAAAGAGCATAATCTGACGTCTTGTCCTATGTGAGATAAGGAAAGTCAAACTGCATGTTTATTAGGGAAAAAAAAAAAAAACCAACCAAAAAAACCCCCAAAACTGAAACAAACCGAAAAGAAAGAAAGAACTCAAGGGAGACTTTGTAGGAACAGTGAAGTAGTGCATAAGTCCAGGCTTTCTCCCCTTTACTTTTCTGCCAGCACCACTTCTGCCTGTTAGTTTGTTTTGTTAAGGTGCTTCAGGTCCTGCGTGGTCTTCAAGCTAAGCGGCGACCCCAAGTACTGCTTCTGTGTTGTTGCTTCCCCTCCCAAACTGTGCCAGCCATCCGGGCAAGATGTTCCTCCCACGGACCCACAGAGGCAGTTGCACCAGTTCCCTTCAGCACTCGTCTTCTTGGTATATTTGTTCATCCAGTTCCTGGGATTCAAGGTGCTCGAGGCGGTCTGTTCGGCCACTCATAATCTCGTCTGGGGTCTTCATGAACCTGCACAACAGAGAAAAAAGTGAATTTCCCAGTGGTTTCAGCTTTTACCTTCATCAAGATGTTGAGGCCCCTGAGCTCTACAGCTCCTCAAATTATCTTTGCTCTATCCTCCCCTGTTTTAGTATTTCCCAGCTTCTCCCCAGCCTACTGGTGTCTTCCCTCCTCCAAACCTGGAAAGGAAACTAAAAACATCACAGGTATTTACCCCTGCTCCTTGGAAGTCCAAATCTGAACCAAACCCTATAATCTTTTACAAGGAATGGTATTTACTCCTTTCCTTCTCCCTTCTGTAGCTTGCTGTTGTCACATAAGATGCTGGTACATCACAGGTACACTTATTTATGGTGTCTAGTGACAGAAACGTTAAGGACCCTTACGGTCAGCACATTTCAAAGCAAAAGCACTTGCAAGGCATGGAGAGGCAGAGGGCTACTGGTTTGTGCAGGTTTGTGTGTAGCTGAGCGAAGAGGAATACGAAACACCACAGGAACGGTTGGTGGAAAAAGACAAGGACCAAGTCAGAACAAGTTCTGGGAAATGAAAAAAACCCTGAAAGAAAAAGCTTTTGGGCTAGGGAACTGTGAGCAAAGACAGTCTCTTCCTGTGTGATTGTAGCAAGCTTAATTGTAATGAAGCAGCATCCTCTGTAAATGAATGCCACGGCTCCCAGCACTAATGTCTTGATGCAGTAAGTCTGCGGGGGGCTAGAAACAGAAACTGCCTCTGGGGAGGCACGGCAGCGGTAGGAAATGGGAAAGGACATCCACCAGTCTGCAGAGCAGGTCTGCAGTCTTGATCTTTGCCAGGATGCTTTTGTGTGCTACTGCACAGAGATAGCACAGAAAAGCTCTGCTTTTGCTTTCTGAATTTAATGGCGTAGGAAGAGAAAGCAGCACAGGAAGGATGAAATCCTAGTTTAAACACAAATCACTTTTCTAACTCGTAAGTACTTCTGGAGAAATTAGGATGAAAGATGTTTATGCTGGAAGTGTTACAAAATTTCACAGTCTTTCATTAATGATGTACTGGCTAACATTCAGCTGTACAAAATGTGTTAATCAGAGGAGCTGATTTTATTTCAGGTTGATGATACACTCAGTATCCTTGCCCCAGTGAAAACAAAACTAACTGACAGGAGCCTCGTTACTCTCACCAACCCAGAAAAATCACTGCCGCAGCTAATGGGCATGACTGGCCTCCTCTTCTGCTTCTGAGGTTATAAAGCTGAGGGCTTTTCATCTGAAGAATCTGAAGTCTCTCAGCAAATGCATAGCACAGCCTGGAACTAACCTTTTGCCACCCCTTCTAATTTTGGAAATCATGTGCACATATGCATTTAGGAAAAAAATAAAAAAAAGAAAAAGCAAAAAAAAAAAGGACTGTGACTCACTGCTGTGTCACTCCCATTTGTATGCTGGAAGAAGGCTGCTGATATAAATGGTGTTACGGTGGTGAAAAACGAGCATGCAGAAGTGGTGAATCAGTCCCCAGCTACACAGTGAAAACGCACCACAGCCTACAGGCCAGACTGCCCTGATTTAAACCCTGTGCTTGTCTTGTTGATCTTGCATGAGGATGAAATCAAAACAGTGAGGGATCCCACTGCCCTCCCTATTCTGTCTGCTCTGTTTCCTAAACCATGTGGGAAATGGGCTGATGTGAACCGTGCTGCAGCACTTTGAGTGGTCTTTCTGGTCTGGGTTTTATGTCAAGGAACTCGAAGAATGGGTATTTGTAATAGCATTTGATTAAATTTTAAAAAACCAACCCAGAACTACAAGCTAACGAAGAAACAGTATCTGTGACCTCTTTAGTTGCAGAAGACACTCAGGCAACCTATTAGAAACCCTTCTCTGACTCCATTTTCCTTAAAGCTCTGTATCTGCAGATGACAACTGCCTGCGTGTTACTTATAAAGTCACATTTCCTATTATTTCTGTGCTTGCGAGAAATAGCCAAGAAAGGCACATTAATGCCTTGATTTTTTGCAGCTGTTCTTCTTTTTCTCTTCAGATATAAATAGGTCTAAGAAAACAACATCAATAAGTTTTTATTGGGAATTGTGCAAAAAATGCTTTGTTGTTTATTTTCCAGTTTCTGAAGGAAATGAGGTTTATATGCTCATGTTTTATACTGCCTGGTGACCTTTGAGTCTGTTGGTCAATTTTGGGCAAGTCTGACAGAGGAACTGAGGTCTCCAAGGGTATTAAGTTTCTACAGAAAATAGGCAGCCTGGTTGAGAAAAGATGGGACTCCTGTTTTGCTTGTGCCCCTCACTGAAGGAGAGGCTCCAAGATAAGCACATTCACTCTTCAGCACCACAGAATACCCCCGGGACAGCGCACTCTTCACACAAGGCCATAGCAATCCAGGTTCCCTTGGTGCTGCTGCTGCTAGAGCAACCTTGTTTTAACTTTCCGCAAAAAAAAAAAAAATAAAAAAATTAAAATCACGCGGCTGATTTTGCCTGTGATTCCTTCTTCCCTTCACTCTCCTTCCCCCATCGAAGTCTCCTTCTAAGAGCTGACATAAACAAGACATTCCACAGAAACCTTTTCAGCTGTAGATAGTTTAAGTGCTAATGCAGTTCTGTTAGCTATTTAAGAAAACAAACTCCAAGACTGCCTTCCTATTGATATCATTTCCAAGCACATTACCAGATCCAGACCACTGACATCAAAGCAGTCTTTGGTCTGAGTTCAGTGCTCTGTGGGTCAGACGTACACACTAGGATTTTCTGGTCTTGACTGGAGAGGACTGGAGTGCTCTCACTCTCCGCCAGCCGCACTCCAGTTTTGCCAGTAACTCCCCACTTTACCTGTGTTTCAGGCACTAGCTCCTAAATTCTTGGTTGTATCACCCAACCCAATGCATTAGGTTTGATGAACAGCTCTTGCAGGTCCCTCTCTTCCTCAAACGCCGAAGCCGTGGCCATCAGCACTTCTCTGCTGTGATGCTGAAGCGTTTGAGGAAATGCCTGATCCCTGCTTAGCTCTCACCAGCAGCAGTGTTGGAGAAGTCAATTTGGAGTGGGTTTTCCAGCAGTTTGGCTGAGATCATGAATCATTTAGCTAAGGTCTTAAACAATGGCACAGCCTGCTTGAAGTGAGTGAAAAGACTTCTATTGACTTGACTGATCATTGAAACAGGTCCCTATTTTTGTAAATTGGCAGTTGCCTTAAAAGCTGGGAAGCACTGGTCTAGACAGCTTTTACAAATGTATGCCCATTGTCACCTGTGTTACAGCTGTGGCAATGAACTATCCCACACACAATTCCATCCTCACTCTTCAAAAACTAATTGTCTGTAGAAAGGAATGGCAAAGAAAAGAAAAAAAATTACCTGAACAAAAGCCTTTGTCCTGGCTCCTTCCGGATAATATTTAGTTTGTAGTAGTGGCGTAGGGCTCTGGACATTTTCTCGTAAGTCATATTTGTTCTGTTCTGTTTTTTTCAAAAGAAAAAGGAAAAAACATGGTGAGATGATTCATTAAAACCGTCCTAAGCCCCAAAAGGAGTTGCAGAATTATCACAACTACCTAAAGTAACCAAGTCAGTTCAAGAAAGTACATGTTCCCCTCTTCTGCTGTTTGCAGGCCCATCCTGCCCCTCCAGCCTTCATCACCCAATTTTTATGGGTCTCTTCATTCAGGGCAATTTAAGCAATAAAGTCTAACAAAAATACCAAGTGAGGTTTTTCCACAGTTTCTTGGATCACAGATAACAAAAGACTTCATCAACCACAAGAGGAGACATTAGACGGAGGGAGATGCTTATGCCAAGCGGGATGTGACAGGCCTGTTCTTAATGAAACCACCTTTTGTAAGAAGAGTGGCTAATAGACTGAATCTGTCAGCAATCCCTGCTAAGAGCACCGTTCCTCTGGGATTCCCCTCCATTAACTAGTTAATGCTTGCAGAGCACTGTGGAGATTGAGAGTCTCTTTCTCCTCTCCTTATACAGGTGTAAATCAAGAAGCCCATTACATTGTACATCTCTTTCCAGGACAGAGCCTCCCCTTCATTTTGGGATGTGCTGATCCCACTGGGCCCTGCTGAAGCCCAGTGAAGGCAGAAGTGATGGTCACTGGCAGCCCCCCAGTACGGACCTGGGATAGCAGGATCAGTCCCTTCAGCTACGTCTGCAGGACGAGCATTTTTATGGTATGAGGAGCCCTGGTTACCACGCTGGCAAAGAAACTCCCAGCAGAGAGACAACTATACTGGCAAAGCCGTGTTTGCATGAGTAGAAAACAGCCACCTTGCCATGGGCAAAACATGCCAAACTAGTAGATGCACGTTTCTGCTCTGTCAGCCTCCCCGTTAGGAGTTTGGCTTGGCACAGCTGTCAGTCCAAGATCAGGCAGCAGGCTCTAGTGTTGACCTGGCTTTATTAAATCAGACTGATCTGAAATGCCCCCTAAGAGCAGATCTCTGCTTGCCCTGGGCGCAACAGCTCTGCTAAGGGAGGCCACATAGGGAGATCCCATGGCAATTACAGAATCACAGAATCATTCTCTGTTGGAAAAGACCTTGAAGATCATCCAGTCACAGAATAGTTGAGGTTGGAAGGCATCTCCGGAGATCACCTAGTCCAGTCCCTCTGCTCAAAGCAGGGTCAACAGTTTTGGGCCCCTCACCCCAAAAAGGCCATTGAATGACTCGAGCGTGGCCAGAGAAGGGCAACGGAGCTGGGGCAGGGTCTGGAGCACAGGTCTGCTGGGGAGCGGCTGGGGGAACTGGGGGGGTTCAGTCTGGAGAAGAGGAGGCTGAGGGGAGACCTCCTGGCCCTCGGCAACTCCCTGCCAGGAGGGGGCAGAGAGGGGGGATGAGTCTCTGGAGCCAAGGCCCCAGCGCCAGGCCCCGAGGGAATGGCCTCAAGCTGCCCAGGGCAGGGTCAGGCTGGCTCTGAGGAAGGATTTCTGTGCAGAAGGGGCTGTTGGGCGTTGGAATGGGCTGCCCAGGGCAGGGGGGAGTCCCCGGGATCCCTGGAGGGGTTGAAGAGTCGGGCTGAGCCAGCGCTGAGGGATCTGGGGGAGTTGGGAACGGTCAGGGGGAGGGTCATGGTTGGGCTGGAGGAGCTGCAAGGGCTTTTCCAAACGAGATGATTCTGAGATTCTGCAGCTGAAGCTGGTTGCTCAGACTGTGTCCAGTTGGGTTTTGAACATCTCCAAGAATGGAGACTCCACAATTTTCTTTAGGCAAGCTGCTCCAGCATCTGACCACCTTTCTACTGAAACAGTCCCACAGCTGGGGCCTCAGGAAACCTAACAAGGGGCAGTGTGAATTCCCACACCTCCCCAGGTGGAAGACTTCACACTGCCCCTTGTTAAACTTCATGAAATTCCCCTTTGTCCATTTCTTCACCATGTCCAGGTCCCCCTGGATGGCAGCACAACCCTCTGGTGTATCAGCCACTCCTCCCCGTTTTGTGCTCTCTGAGTACTTGCTGAGGCTGTGCTCTGTCCATCACCCAGGTCATTAATGAACCTGATCAACAGTATCAGCCCCAGCATCAATCCCCGGGGTAACATCGCTAGTGACTGGATTTTGTACTGTTGATCACAATCTTTTCAGCCCAGCAGTTCAGCCAGTTTTCAATCTACCTCACTATATTCTTGTCCAGGTTATACTTAATTAGTTTGTCTATGAGGATATTATGGGAGACAATCTGAAAAGGCTTTCTAAAATCAGGGTAAGCTACATCCACTGTTCTCCCTTCATCCACCGAGGTAAATCATTTCATCGTAGACGGATATCACAGTGGTCAAGCATGATTTCCCTTTTGTAAATCCCTGCTGACTACTCATATATTCATATGAATATACTCATATGCATATACTCGTACAGACATATCTGTACATACTCGGCCTCAAACGGCAAAAATCAGGAACTGCTTTCCAGGGAACACAATTACCCTCTTAAAAGGAAATACACAATCCTGCAGCATTTGGTGTCTGTCACAGGACAGCACGTGAAATCTGAATACTGGTTCAGACAGGAACACAGGCAGAAAGCTCCTGCTGAGAGGTAACAGCTCCTTGCAGAGCACATCTAACCAGAACACCCTTAGCATCAGGTTTGGGGAAGAAATGAGATGCTTTTGAGAGAGAAGGACCGTTAATTCTTGCGCTCCTTGTAATCTTATAATTAAATGCATTTATAACTAAATGCCTTTAAACCAAACCAACAGGTTCTCTGTATGAGGGGTAGGTTTTAGTGCTTGAGGCTGGATGCTTTTATATTTCTAATGTGTGTAGAATGAAAGATTACAACGTTCCAGCAGTAGTTCATATGCACATACTTTCTTCCTTTTCCCCCTGTTTTTAAGTGAATCCTGTGATGTTACAAGAGGTGAAGTGCTGTAGGAGGAAAAATTGCATTGCTTCCTTACCTTGTGGTTTCCCCACAGCCGGGCCAGCCCGTTGGGATCCACTATCCGAAATATTTTGGATTCTTTATCTTCCCATCGGATGAAATTTTCGTACCGGCTGTCAGAAAGCAGCTGATAAACATAATCCCAAAGCAACCTACAATCTGTGAAGAGAGGAGAAAGAAAAAATTGACTTTTCTTCCTTGGGATTAATTCTGGAAATTTTGGGGTGGATGTGTAGTGAAAGGACAGTTGGGATCAGGGCTGAAACAGCTGCTGCAATCTGAAATGCAAATGGCTTGGTTTCCAAAATGTACTGGAATATACAGCCTCTTCCGACGCGTCCCAGTCCTTCTGACACTGACTGAGCTTCTTTACCACATTAAAAGCTGTGCGAGATGACCTGCTGATCTTAGCTGTGTGTTTATGCTTGTACTGATGCACGTAAAGCTAACACTGTTGGCCCCGATGCTGTTGCTGGCTGTTTCAGTGAGGAAATTAAGAATTCTGCAACCTGCTCTCCCTGCCTGAAGCTGCCCCTTTCTGTGTAACATGAGGGGGTCTAAAGCAATGCTGCAGCTTTCCTTCGTATACTCCATGTGATGTAAAATTGACACCTTCTATCATTTTTGAATTTGCTTTTTGTTTTATTTTTTTAAGGTTCCCGGAAAAAAAAAAACCAAAAACCAACAAACCCAAGTATTATAATTACTTGAGTGCTATTGAGAGGTTAAATACTTTCTATTTGGATAATTGAATTCAAATTTCCTCTTGGCAAACACTCCTTAGGTCGCTAATTAAAGGTCTAACAGATACTTAGGTTTTAGTTTAGTGTTTTTCAGTTTCATGGCAGTCTCTTGAGACCAAGGAAGCCAAGAGCTGAGCTGCTCCTACTTCCTCCTTGCAATGTGTGTGCGCGCAGCACAGCCGAGTAAGTGGCAGCTAGGAAATATGGAAAGTGAATTGCACAGAGCTGGGGGTTCTGCTGCTGTCAGAAACAACAGGGGTTTTATAGCTCAACTGTCCAGATCCCTACGATGGCTGCATAGTTGCGTTTGACTTTTAAAGCAAACCCAATCTCTCACAGATGGCTTGTTAGAGTGGTTAAAGGGCAGACAACCAAAGACTTCTAGGTGCTAAAATGGATCCTTGTCAGCCTCTTTCTATTCCTGTCTGTCTGTCTGGGGTTGGTACGTGTTACAATAGGGATGATGACACGTTCAGTATGAGAATATAAAATGCTTTTTGAAAAGGGCTTGGAATAACACATTTAATGAGCAAACCTGAAATGGTTAGAGATTAACGTTATTGATGGTATTTCCCATTTTTGAACTGTAAAAGAGTATCTCTGAAACCTGCACTGTGTCTAAAACCAGAGTTAGTTTAGTTTGCCTGTGCCCTTACTATAGACTCTCCCTGCCAGTCCTACGGAGAACAGAGCAGTGTGTTTTGAAGAGATGACATCTGGCAAAAATTGCAGGTTTCTGTTCTGAAACCCACCCCGATGGTCACATCATCCCTGACATCTGCAAGAGGAGGGATGTGAAAGGAAAGAGGCAGTCAGATTTATTTGTTGGAAAAACCTTATTTTCATTAACATTTTTCACAGAAAAAAATGCCCAGTCCCATTGGAAATTTTTCTGGGTTTTTAATTTAAAAAAATGAAACCGATTTCCATTTTTTGCATTCATTGATGCCGATGCTCTTCAGGGATAGCTTCCTCCCTCTCACCCAGGATAAGGTACCTGCAGCTGAGACCAGGACAGACAGTAATTCTCCTCCATGTGCATTTGCCAATGACCAGCCCAGACGAGTCCCTTCTTGGCACACAGATGCAGAGAAGCCTTGTTCCCCCATGCCCCCTGCGGGTCCCAAGCGGGGAGCAGTTAAACGCTGCAGTGCCCAACACTGCTGTGGCTCACCCCTGGGGCAGCTCTGGGCACAAGGGACTGCCCCTGGGCTACGTGTGAGGGCTGTAGGACAGAGTGAAATTCAAAGTCTCAGGCTACCACATCAATTTTTGTCATCTTTCACAAATTCACAAAACCCGGTTCTTCCATCACTTTTCCATCAATGATTTTTCACACACGCACACAGAATTAGTCTCTTAGACACGCACATATTAGAAAAAAAAAACGGCTTTTTTAGACTTCATTTATAAGAAACAAAGGAAGGGAGATTATATTGCTCTACTGGTTTGTGCCTTTTAATAACATGGGAGGTGCTCAGATAATAGGGTAGCAAGGGCCCACGTAAGTGGTTCCTTGACATGTGTGCAATTCACTCCAGAACTCTTTCAATGAAAAGCTGTACAGAAAATGAGGTTTTAGTGCAAGAATCTTAATTAAGAAAAAAAAAAAAACAGCCAACAAAAACTTTGTCTTTTGTTAATGTTCCTCCGATTCCTCTGGCTCTGACTCCTCAGGGCATATTTTACCAGTGGATCAGAGCTGGTGATACAACTGCGTTCCAAAAACAACCACTTTATTTTTCCATCATCCTGTGTAACCTGTGATAACTTTAACAACAAAACCTGCACAGTCTAGGTCAACAGTTCATGCTGAATTCACTAGTTTAGATCAGCTTTTCCCAAAGATCTCCACGCTTTCTTTCCACCCAGTCCTTTACTAAAATCACTGCACACGTGAGGTGATTCCCCAGGTCAGCAGCCCGTCACACACCGTGGCCATCGGTGGGCAGTCCCAGCCTAAACACCCGTGGTGGGCTCAGGCTGGTCCCACCCTCTGTCTTGGTGGGAGCAGTTTCAAATCAGAAAACATTTCCTTAGCTGATGTTCCTCAAGACAAAAAGAGGCACTTTTTGGCCAAGGCAGGAATTTATTAGAAACCTGAGGGAAGAGAGGAAGGACGTGTGGGTCTGTTATTGAACCAGCGCTTTGGGACTGTGCTGGAAGTTTGCTGAGGTGGTTGGTTGGTGTATGGCTCCATCGGGAGAGCGCTGCAGGAATCTGGGGTCCCACTGTCCCTCATCTGGTTTTGCTTGTCCTGGAAGGAGTCGCCCTCCTTGGATCAGCAGGAGGGATGGCCCTCCCGCCGAGACACGTCATCACCAGGCTCTGCCATATTCCTGAACACACAGCCTGGGGCAGACACCCTCCAATTACCGTAATTTAGAGCTAATATTTACAGTTCCACTGAGATATGTTTTACCCTAAACTTTACTTTCACTTCATTATTTGCAAGATGCAATGTCATTTTTAATCAGTAGTACAGTGCTGTAATTGCGCTCTAGAAAATTTCCAAACATATAAATAAAACTCTTACTGATGAGGATGGAAGACCCCTAAAATCCTCTCTACAGTGGCCCCTGGAAGATGCCTCCTTGACAGCTGAGTGGAATTGCACAGGCAATATGTGTCGCACATTCACCTCAGTGAGGCTAGCAAGTAAATTCTAGTTGAACCTAATGGCTTGGGTTATTTTCCACTGGCTATCATTACTTCACACGGACTGTGTGACCCCCCGCCTTGACAAAAACAAGAAAGCACAAAAAAATTCAGCCAGCGATGTCTGGGTGGCAAAGTACTGGAGGAACAACAGAGCTTCAGACTCTGAGAAGAGGCAGGATTCAAGTGTGGATTTGTTTTCTGTTGCTCACCTAATTTCTAGAATGGATTCAGGCTAAGCTTGAATATAAATATTCCTCAAATGAGAAGAACTCAGATCTGCATCTTGAGATCTTCACAAGGAAAGTCCTAAGTGATCAAGGGCCCCATCCCATATTCTAAACTGACTGAGCTGCTCAGACTTGCCAAGGCATTTAGTAGGCTGGTGGAATTTGCAAAAAAAACCCAACCACCCAAGTATCTTAGACCTTGTGTTTGCTTCAACAAGAAAATGGAAAATTCTTGAAAATTCTGCTTGGCTCCTACAACCACTTAAAAACTTGTCTTCAAAAGCTACACTTGTCTTCCAGCAAATTTAGACATACCGACTGAGTTGCAATAATTTAATGAGCAGACATGCATCAATGCAACTGTGGCAACTGTGTCTCAAGCCACTGCAAATAGGAAATAAAAAGCATTAAACACCAGTAGAAAGGATTTAGGCTCAGTGCATTTCTTCTCACCTCTGCTGAGAGCTATGAGCGTGCACACTGTTAAGTTATCATGGACCAGCTGATGCTTGGCAGCACAATTTAGTTAATAAATATATGAGCTCTGTTTGCAGAGTACCTAAATCAGTTTGACTTCTTTCAAGTTTCACATGGGGAGACCTTTAGGATTTTTTTTTTTTTTTTTTTTGTTTTTTTGTTTTAACCACAAATTACTTACATTCTGGGTATCTTTCTTCACAGATTGCACAGTAAAAAAAAAAAAAAGAGGTTCTGGAGGAGTTTCCCCGACTGACAGGAGCAGCAACTAAATAATCTACCATTAGGCAAGTAAAGACCATCTTTAATAGGACAATAAAGACTACAGGTCAAAGACTACCTGGTAACTGTTAGTGAGTGTAATGAATTTGGAGGACAGCAGAGCCCATCTGGAGCAGACTGCAAGCCTATGAAATTGGTGAAAACCCAAGAAAAGGCAATGCTAGAAACTGCTATTAAAAGGAGCTTCTCCACTGGGAAAAGAGGCACCGCCACAGAAAACTGGTGAAAACAATAAAGAAAGTCGCATCCTCCAGGAAAGCCAAAACTGTTACATGTATTTTCAGGAAGGATGGAGAAATGGAGAGAAGGACTTGTATGTGGCTGGTTGTTTTGTAAGTCTAAATCTCTCGTTTGAGGAAAAGTCTGGATGGTGTGAATGACTCCATGAAGACTAAATCACTTCCTTGGCTATCAGAAGGCCTCCAAAGGAGCAGTCACATCGAGGGGGGAGACTCTCCACAGGGTGTGTGCTGGTTAGTGAGCGATGGCAAGAAAGCACACGGATACTGCTGAGGTCAAGGAGGTTCAAAAGTGTGGGAGATTCGTAGGGGAGTTGAGTCAGGGCTGGTACCTAAATTGTTTGGGCATGCTGCAATTTCCTGCCTTTTGGCTAAAATAAGCTTACTTAGAAATAACTATGTCTCTGTAGCACAAGGAAACATCATTTCCCCCTAACACACACACACACACATATGTACTTTTTATCTTAAGTGAACTCAGAATGTTGAGCTTTGCACAGTCTGAAGGTAAAGGGATTTAGCTGTGGAGA